ACACATTTCTTTTCTCTTTTCTGACTATTATTAGATGATTTAATTCAATTTAGGAAGGGTATATGAAAGACAATAGACAGATGGCTAATTCAGCTAGTCTATACTGTTTATTCCCATAAATCCTTCCTAAGCTGCATAAAAGTGTCTAATGATAGCCAGAATAAACTGTCAAAATGCGTCACAATCCCCAAGGGGTTAATAATTGCATGATCATGTTTTTAAGCCTGGGGTACGGTACGGAATTTTGCTCATTTTTCCGTACCTAAATCGTACCGTACCGTACTTCAAGGAAAATATCGTACCGTAATTCCGTACCGTACATTGACTAAATATCAACCGTCAGCCTTGCTTACAGTAGGCTACATAAACAACTCTAGAAGCAAAAACAAAAATAATAATAATAAATAAATACAAAATTAATAATAAATACATAAATAAATAAATAGAAAAATAACCTACACAAACAAACAAGAAAATAATTAAATACTTACATGAGAAAGTTGATTACCATAACAAAAAGTAAGAAAGGAAGTGGGTAAAGACGTGTTAATAAGATACGGATGGCTTCCTCTGTGTTCCCGTTAGTCTAGTTTAGGTGCTGGAGAGTGACGTACAGTATGGCGGACCGAGGCTGACTGAACCCGGATATTCAAGACTTTACGATATCGAATTTATTTTATACATACTCAATTGTCATACTTATTTGTCATACTTGTTTTATACTCACTTGTCATATTCTCTTGTTGTTCTTGCTCACTTGTCATACTTGCTCACTTGTCATACTTGCTCACTTGTCATACTCACTTGTCATACTTGCTCACTTGTCATACTTACTCACTTGTCATACTTGCTCACTTGTCATACTTACTCACTTGTCATACTTACTCACTTGTCATACTTGCTCACTTGTCATACTTGCTCACTTGTCATACTTGCTCACTTGTCATACTTACTCACTTGTCATACTTGCTCACTTGTCACTCACTTGGATAGGACATTTAATATCACTTGTCATACTTGCTCACTTGTTACTCACACTTGCTCACTTGTCATACCTCACTTGTCATACTTGCTCACTTGTCATACTTGCTCACTTGTCATACTCACTTGTCATACTTGCTCACTTGTCATACTTGCTCACTTGTCATACTTGCTCACTTGTCATACTTGCTCACTTGTCATATTCTCTTGTTGTTCTTGCTCACTTGTCATACTTACTCTCTTGTTATACTTGCTCACCTGTTGTACAGTCGCCTGCACTTATATCTCGTACTGTGGTTGGTACGTTTTGTGAGGTGTGTCAGCACTGTGTTTGTTTACATCATATTACAACTCCCGGAGTGGCCCTAAGGAACCTCTCAATAGCACAGTTCGTCATCCGCCAGTGTTACTGAAATTAGATTTGAGACGACGTTTGCACCAGCACGGGAGGAACAGAGGACAAATCTCAATTGAAATATATAGTTCATATGCTGACAAGTGTTGTATTTTAGAGCAATTTTTTTACGTCTTTTAATGAATAAGATAATAATTATAGCAGTGGTTATCTGAATTTATTATCGAGGGTGACCGGTAAACAGAGCTTTGTTTATCCTCTGCACGCTACCACGTGGTCACCCAGAAGCTCCGCCCACAACTGTGTGACGTCACTGACGAACTGTGCATAAGGGTGCTAAATAAGCGTTCCACTTATATGCCACATCTCACAATACGAGCCAGCCACTGTAATAGGTACAAAGTGCAGGCGACTGTACTTGTCATACTTGTTCTACCTACTCACTTGTTTTACTCACTTGTTATATTCACTCACTTGTCATACTTGCTCACTTGTCATACTTGCTCACGTGTCATACTTGTTCAACCTGTCTTACTCACTTTTCACACTTGCTCCATTGTCATACTTGCTCACTCACTTGTCATGTTCAACCCTTGTCAACTTTATAGGCGGTGGAAAAATCGTTATTGCTTCTCAGTGTTGTATTGATCATAGGTATAGGCACAGGCTTTTAACAACAACCTGAAAATGACCAGAAAGCCAAAAATAAACTGGGTCAAGGTCATAGCTGAAAGTTAAGTGCCAAATCAGACATTAGGCATAGGATTAATTGTGTTATTGTATTTCTTAGTAATTTTACCTTGAGGTGTAAGAACGTATCTAACGCACTCACTTTAAGGTACAATAAAATAGATAGCGACTAAAATCTATTTTGGGAACTGGTCTGAGAATCTACCGTAACAGTTCTCTTAAACCACACTTACGGGAAAGAAAATTAAACGTGTAAATATCTGAGAATTCGGTCGGAAAACAGCTGACGCGTGCGCAATTTTCTCGTAAAAGCTCATTAACTTTCCCCCCTGATATCAAGGCTGGCCTCATATACGGTACTGGCTGTGTGTCTGGACTTCTTTGTTCAGTGGAGCAAAAAAAGACGAGAGAGAGAGACAAGCGAAGTATACACATTAGCACCAGTTACGACAGTATGACATAGCACTAGTAGTTACGAAAGTACAGTATAGCGCTACCAGGGTTAGAACATCTCTGGGTTTTCATACAGAAGGCCGCTGGTACCGGAAATGCGAGAGCCATAAACAGAAGCATGGGGAGCCAGAGATAAACGATATGCAAGCTGTAGGGTATAGTATAGGAAATTCAACTATAACATCACGGTATAGCAGTATAGCATCACAAGCTGCGATAGTATGGCATAATACCGAGCACTACCAACCACCACTCGAGTACAACTAACTTCGGCAGTGTGCTATATAGTAACACCATTTACGGCCATATATAAGAGAACCAAGTGAGGTAGTTTGGTATAACAGTCGTCGTCGTATAACTCCCACAACGTAATCATAACTATAACATTTTCAACCAAAGTAGATTAATATAAAACAGTATAGCACAAACAGTCACAATATCTTGTTATGTCAGTAGAACACAAACAATAAACCTTATTACATAATAGCAAAAACTATTTCATTTAAGAGTATTGGTGGCACAGTTGAAACGCGCTCATCTTTAATGTTATGTCCTGGGTTCAAACCCCGAACGGGACAGATGTGAGAAGGTTGGTCTGTAGCGTGACCCCACAAACACCACAGGCCTTCTCCGGGTATAGTGAATCAAAGGGATGATGAACTTATGGAAAAAAAAAGTAATAGCAGCCACGATAGTTACCTATAATAACGAGAGGCTTGAGAGAGTAGTAGGCCTATAGCATCAACCACTAACAGTGTCACAGTTTTTATATTCAAAATAGGATAATCACTTAGTTTTATATTTCTTCTTTGAAATAAAGAAAACTTGATCATTCATTGGACGGTAAAAGTTGTTGATACCATTTAAATTTCGAATTTATTGTGCAGTTGAGTGAACGACACACAGTAACGATATGAACACCAGATGACGTAGAGAGGAGAGTGGCGAGGTTGATCAGATATATAAACAGTGAGTTACTTAAACATATATAGTGTTGTTATTAAGAATCTTTATCTGTAACTTGGCTTTAAAATAACCCAAGACGAGACTATCAGGACCAATGGAGGGATCCTACACAGGCATGACCACCTCTAGTGGGTGGCCATCAGGTAAATAAAATAAATACTGTAGGTCACAAACTGTTAATTGGACGCTGGAAAGTATTCATTATACAGAGCTTGTATCCATGAGTCAAGGTAGTTATGGCATTTGAGATTACTTAATAAATCACACATCTTGAATATCTAGTCAGGCTAAAGGCTTTGAAACTGACTCGCTCACCAAGCCAGACACTACAGGGCAGAACACTGTGTAAACATTTTTAAGTCCTGCACGAAACACCATTTTCAAGGTACTAAATGCCCCCCCCCTCCCCCCCCCCACACACACACACTTAAGTGGTCATAGGTTCAAACCGGCCAAGTCATCATGCAAAACTGGTATGAGGAAGTATTTCGTTAGGCAAAATAGTAGAGCTGTGGAAGACTACCTACCAAAGAACCGAGAACTATGTTGAAGGATCAAATCAGAGTCATCAACAATAACAAACTACAGTTTTCTTCCCTCGGTGACGCCACTACCGGCTGTGACCACTGGGTACACAAGTGGCTGACAAGGTACCAGTGATAACACTACATCATTTTAAGATGAAAAGTCAGAATGGCAGGAAGTAAATATGAAGTTTGCTTTTCACTGATAAGAAAGTGAGTGGGTAATTAGATCGCCATTTTGTATTCTGATAAATATTTCAATACGTGAACAGATAATCCCGCCTATTTATTATCCACCCAAAGAGGAAACGTTCTTGGGTTGGGTGTACCACATCACCCTTGTCGTGAATCTCCACCAAGAGGCAGCTGTGGGGGTGAGAGGCAGGCAGCATGGCGGCGCTCACTCGAGAAGTGGGCCGGGTGAAAATACACCCAAACACAGGTGCTGTTTTCGTGTCACCTGCTGTTCCCGTCCTCTATTACACTACAGGTGGACGAGGAAAGTTTCACGAGGTGCCATCGTTACCTGAGCCGTGACGAGCCACCACACCACCCAGCCTATACACCACCCACTTGTTACACTCACCCCCATCTTAAACACTTTTAATTAGTCTGTAGAATCCAAATACATCTTCGAATAAACCTAAATAATATTGTATATTATATTGTACTCTCTCTCGCGCGAAAGTTGCAGGAATTGCCGATCGCATGTTTTGTTGCGAAGTTAACCTACAGACGAAGATATTTATATGACTAACTTCGGACTGCATGACTGAGTGTTCTGAGTCAATGTTATACAAATATCAGTCTATGTTCACTCTAGTTATTGCGATCGTCAGGTAAATCGGTGCATGATTACACGCACTTCAGTAGCTATTACGGAGTGTGTGATTGTTATGCTTTCGATACAAAAAACAAACAAATTATACAATGATAATAAACGCATCCCGTGTTCCAGACGTCGTTACATCTGTACCCCCTCCTTCCAGAGCGTGATACAGCTACCCCCCCTAGAGAAGACTCGGAGCCGGGCGGACAGCGACTGTGAGAATCATTCTGTGTGTAGACCTCTGGTGAGACGGCAGCTGAGAACATTACTCTGCACACACTCCTCTACTCTCACGTACCTTAAGTAAGTGTTCAACTCTCACTGTTACTTACACACTCGGCATTGTAACAACGTTTTGTATTTTCCACTGTGTTCAGCAGCGTCAACATTGCTCACTAGGAATTTGGTTACATTATCATTTGTAAAACAGTTCAAGTCTACATTTTGGAATATCTTTGTAAACATTTTTTTTTAATTTACGAAGTTTTTCTAATGATATAATAGAGTTGTGTTATATTACCTAAGAAACGAACATTACCTGATTTTCTTATTAAGAGCTTCAACTGAAAATTAAAGACAATTTAACTCAATTAAATATAACAAGAAACGAAGAAATGAAAAATATCGCATAATAATTAAGACATTAAATTAATAAAAACAGAAAAAAAGGAGAAAATTATAAAACCTTGAAAATAGAAAAAATCTGAATAATATTTGGAAGAAATATCACTACCAGAACAAAGTTATTTGTAACGTTCGTGGAAAGAATATTTGACCTATTTATTAACGAGAAGAATTACGTAAAATTTTACGACAGTTTGGAAATTTAAATAAACACTAGGTACAATGTATACTTCAACACGTCTGTACTTGATTATCCGGTTCGTATTAATGAGGTTACTTGATTATCCGGTTCATATTAATGAGGTTACTTGATTATCCCGTTCGTATTAATAAGGTTCCTAGTTATCCAATGATGGGTGATTATCCAAAGATGGTTAACGAAATTCACTATTATTCATAACTGGATTAACGACGATTATTAAGCAAAACTCTGAATTTCCAGGATTATGACACTGACTGAGTGTATCCGGAGGTGGTGTTAAGAGTGCGTAGGTGTGGGTGGGTGCGTGGGTGTGGGTGCATAGGTGTGGGTGCGTAAATGTGAGTGCGTAGGTGTAATATATGGCGACTTGTGTAATGGTCAGCATGCTCGCCTCCCAAGCGAGCAGACCCGGGTTTGTCCCCAGGACAGGTTGAAACTATGGGCAAGTTTCTTTACGCCGTTTGCCTCTGTCTACCCAGCAGTAATTGGGAACCTGGATGTTAGATTTGCGGATCGTGTTCCTGGATAATGGTTAGCCAGTGGAGTTGTCCGGTCTTCTTGGACTGTTCCTTGACATTGGGTCATACAGCTCGTTAACTCAGGGTGTTGTTGTTGTGTTGGTGACAGCTTCTACACCTTAAACAAATTCACGCCCAGGTGGCCCTAGGCCCGGCCATCCTCGTTACTCGAGGGGCAACCATATTATTTAATGTAGGTGTGGATGCTTAGATGTAATGTGTTTGCGTGAATAAAATAGTTTAGTACGCGCACGAGTGTGTGGAGACATCATACCTCTAACACATACCGGGTTACCTGAAGATTAGATACGCCAGGTATTGTCCCCTGATAAGGGGGGTGAAAGTTAAGGGTTAGGTTAAGTTAGGGTTAGGTTAAGTTAGATTAAGTTTTGGTTATCTTAGATTAGGTTAAGGTTAGACTATATTAGGTTTAGGTTTGATTAAGTTTAGGTTAGGGTGAGGTTAGATTAAGTTTAGGTTAGGTTTAGTTTAAGTTAGGTTTAGTTTAGGTTAAGGTTAGATTAAGTTTAGGTTAAAGTTAGATTAGGTTTAGGTTAGATTATGTTAGATTAAGTTAAGGTTAGAGTAGGTTAGGAAAAGTTAAAATGGTTAATCTTCAGGTGAAATAACCCGGGGTGCCTAATCTCCAGGTGATTCTATACACACAAAGCGAAGAAAAATAAAACCAAACGACCCGTCAAGAAACCTCCCTCTAATACCAAGTTCCCTATCTCAACGCTGTACGACTTTGTGGCAGCGCTCAGACGTCTCCCATACGACAGCTGGGCGGGCGTACGACGTAAAATTTGGGGATGTTTTATATACAGTACGTAACTAACCCTGAGGACGAACGGACTAACAAGAGACCCTAGATAGACGCTTAGGGCTGGTCAGTAAACAAGGGATTAAAACCGGGTCGTGATCTAGAGTTGTTGATATTCATGGACTGAGAGAGACGAGTGAGCACTGTGTGATAGATATATAGAGAGAGATTAAGAGATAGATAAATAGATATATGGATAGCGAGAGAATGAGAGTGAGAGAGAGAGAGAGAGAGAGAGAGAGAGAGAGAGAGAGATAAAACTGCAACTCTCCCGAAAACCACAACATAATCAGGAAGTAATCAACAACTCTCTCTTCCTGACAGTAATAATTTCTTTCTTTCTTTCTTTCTTTCTTTCTTTCTTTCTTCCTCTGTGTTAAGGACTGTCTTAAGTACACATTACTATTGAAAAAGCGAGTCAAGATAAGTAAAGAAAGATACAAGTAAATAAGTAAGATAGATTATACAAGAAAGTTAAGAGGGCATTAGGATAAATAAAATAAAATAACACTTAGAAAAAACATAATAACGTGGGTAAGAATAGCATAATTGAAGATAATTGAAGGGGAAGTTGATAAACGTCGTAAAATGCAGGAGAAAGAAAATTAAGGGGGGGGGGAAGGGTGAGGGACTTCGTGAGAAATTAAACCCTTGAAGGACTCTGGATGTAGGAACCAGGAAATGAATGTTGTGCCAGGAATAAAAGAAAGGTGGACACGAAACAAAAGTCAAGGCATTGAGAACTAGTTTTAGGGCATTGAGAACAAAAGTCAGGGCATTGAGTACAAACGTCAGGGCATTGAGTACAAACGTCAGGGCATTGAGTACAAACGTCAGGGCATTGAGAACAAAAGTCAGGGTATTGAGAACTAGTTTTAGGGCACAGTTCAGGTCAAAGGAGGTGAGGCAGTAGGTCATAAGAGGTCACGATGTCAGGGTCATGGTTGTAAGAGGTCACGGCCGAATTTCTAAGGCAGGAGAGAGGGTAAAGGGGGGGAGGGGGTGGGAGGGAAATCTCTAGGATGTGACACTTTTGTAGTCCTTATACGGTGTGTGTTGGTCTGGCTGAGTGGGGCACAGCAGGGAGCGACTGGTGGTGCTAATGGTGGTGATGCTGGTGGTGTTTGATGGGGATGGTGGAGTGTGGTAATGTTGATGGTGGTGTTTGGTGTTGATGGTGGTGTTTGGTGTTGATGGTGGTGTTTGCTGATGGTGGTGTTTGGTGGTGATGGCGATGGTGGTGTTTGGTGTTGATGGTGTTGTTTGCTGATGGTGGTGTTTGCTGCTGCTGTTGTTGATGATGATGATGACTGTTGTTGCAGTTATAATTCTTGATGTTATTTTTGCTGCCGTTATTTTTTGTTCTTGTTAACATTCTTGCCGTTGAAGTTTAGTTATTATTATTATTTAAATTATTCACTTATTATCATTTTGTTTATGTTATTCTTGTATTTGGGGAGATAGTTTACTCGATAAACAAACAAACTACCAAAAGTGACATCCCCAGTAGTGAAGGGGTTAATCTTATTTTTTTTTTTATTATTTTTTTTGTTATTGTTGCTATTATTATCGCTACTGTTATTGTTGTTGTTAGAAGTAATATTTTTGACAGATAATAGTGAAGATACGGATGATAGTGTTCTTGTTTTAACTATTGTTGTTGTCGACGGTCCACGAAGGGGGCGGGGGGTCAGCGGTAGAGGCTAAGGAGAAATGGTCAGGTGTAACAGTAAATGGGAAGAGGGTTACCAGCCAAGGAATTTAAAGAGGTGGGGAAAAGGGGGAGGGAGGTGGGTGGTGGTGGTCAGAGGTAGGGGGAGGGGAAGGATGTGGATGGTCAGAGGTAGGGGGGAGGGGAAGGATGTGGATGGTCAGGGGAGGGATGTGAATGGTCAGGGGTAGGGGCAACAGGGGAGGGTAAGGATGCGGATGGTGTAGTGGTCAAATCACTTCCGCTGGTGGGAGGGCAAACTGGTTCAGTGGCTACTGAGTGTATGATGCAGGTCCCGTTCAACGCGCGAGCTCCTCCCACACCCACGACCAGTTTATAGAGCATCGCTGGCTCCATAGTGGGGGTGTGGGTGGGGCGTCCTGGTGGTAGGGTATGGGTTGGGCACAGGTGGGCATTGGGTAACAACTTAGGGTAATGGGAAACATTGGGTATGGATATGACACGGGTGGGTATGGGAAGCACTTAGTTTAACAATGGGTAGGAAATGGGTAGAGTATGGTAGGGAGGGTATGGCATGAGGATTATGGGTAAGGTTTAGGTGTGACTGAGGGTGATGGGTATTTGGGACGTGGTTGAGGCGTGACCTACTTACAGCTAGGACATGGCTGATGGAAGGTCTAGTGATGGCTGGGACCGTAGACAAAGGATATTGATGGGGTCTTGGCTGGGATACAGTGAGGATATAACCTGATGATGATTTAAACATTGCTGGGAGTATGGCTAGACAGACATATAGCTTGGAACATAACTAAGACATTGAGATAGACTATTTTATAACTCATTTATGGCTACAACAACAAGTTCACAAGATCCTAACCTGACAGGAATAAGACAAAACTGACGAACTTGTGGATCTTTGTGTACAGGAAAAAATATTTATTCGTTACTCATTTGTGAGTCCGCCCGGGACCCCGTTAGGCAGCCTAGGGACCACACCCAACCCTCAGAGTTACCAAGTGACACGGTAAAGGTCAGTTGAGTCTTGGTACTGGAATATTTACCTTATGTACGAGTCACTACGGTGGGTAAAGGTTTAAACCACTGTCTTCCTTCAGTACGGTTACCGATGCATCACCAGTCACGACAGGTAGCACTTGTGGGGGCTGCTTGTGATGCTCCTGCTCACGATACCTGCAGGTCAACACTACGGTAACTAGTGTATTAGCTAACAGGAAAAGTTTTTTAGTGTGCGTGCGTGCGTGCGTGCGTGCGTGTGTGTGTGTGTGTGTGTGTGTTGTGCGTGCGTTGTGCGTGCGTGCATGCGTGTGTGTGAAAGGCAACAAATCAACCGATCGACGTAAAAATACCCAATTTGTAAGGGATAGTTTATATTAACAGTACTTGACATCATGAACCAGTTTCCTCTCCAACAGGTAACTGCTCACCTAAAATATTTCAGGTGTT